CTTGACTTCGACACTAGATGGAGATGAGTGGTTAGCTTCACGCCCCTTCCGCTTTCCCCCGGGGAAAGAGCCCCCAGTAACCATTGGATAGGAGGCTGGGTGGGCCCCACAACCGCAGTGGACTACGTGGAGAAGAGAAAAATCTTGACTCTACTGGAACTTGACCCCTCGGTCGTCCAGCCCGTAGCCAGTCGCTATACCGACTGAGCTATCCTGGCACACGGAAGGATTAGGTACATTGAAAAGAAAACACCTCATCCGGACTCGAATCCGCGACCTTCTGGCTTCTAGCATAGTGTCTCAACCAACTACGCAAATGCGAGTTAACAGGACAGAACTCATATGGTGTCAAATTTCTTAGAAAATGCACTAAACACGTCTTTGCATCAATAAATAGTATTATATTCAAGGGGGACAATATGCTGGCAACGGGGTACAATGGAGGATGTGTCCGAACTATGAGTATATTATTATTATTATTATTATTATTATTATTATTATTATTTTACTGCAGTTGGGTGTTAACCCGGTGGAAGTAGATCTTACACTGATACAAACAAGGAAAGACTATACATAAAGGGAATAATACAAAACAAAGTACATATAATAAAAAAGGTACACACAGTGCAAATCCAAACTCACACAAGGGCGTAGGAGGATATTGCGGAATATATTTGCCACTATAAGAGACATCTTGAGCCCTTACATTTCTTAACACATCAATGCTTATTAATGTCCATTAAGTGTAATAACTTTAATAGAGGAGAATGTCACTACTGGCCACCACTGGAAGGCACACGCAACACTACAAAGAAAAACGTTAGGTGTATGACGCACACAGACGATCATGAAAGGATTACCGAACAAACAAAACAAAATCCGTGGCCTGTAGTCCGCAAGCGAACTATATCGACCGAGCGACCGTCAATTGTCGGTGAAGTTAGTGCCAACTTTGCGGACAGAGAGTGTCACGTGATCACCGTAACGGATCCCCACGGCCGTTAATCTCGGTTTTCTAGACCGGAGCCGCTACTGTTCCATTCAAGTAGCTCCTCAAGTATCCTAACGAGGCTGAGTGGACCCCGTTCCATACCCACTACTTCTCAGAAAAAATTTAGTAGCGCCGGGAATCGAACCATGACCTCTGTATCTGTAGCCAGGAACTTTGGCCACTAGAACACAGAGGAGGAGATCGCTCTCCCGGCTCCAATTTGCTAGCCCAGAAGCAACATTATATTTTGTTTGTTTATTTACGGTTTCTTTTGTAATACGGGCCGGGATAGCGCAGTCGGTATAGTGACTGGCTACGGGCTGCATGACTGAAGGTTCGGAGTTCAAGTCCAGGTAGAGTCAAGAATTTTCTATTCTCCATATCGTCCAGACTGATTCTGGGGGCCACCCAATCTCCTATCCAATGGGTACCGGTGGCTCTTTCGCCGGGGCTAAAGCATCCGGGGTATGAAGCTAACCACTTACCTCCAGCTAGTGCCGAGATCAAGAAAATGTGGATCTATACATCCACTCCTCCATACGCCTTCATGACGTAGTGCTTAATTAGTTAAGCACAGGGACAACTTTACGTGTACATTATCGGCTAGCTAAACTGTTGAAATTGTTTGACATCTCTACGAAACCGGTGAGTGAGTATTAGTTCAAGCATGCTGATGACCTTAAGGTTGATTAAAGAATCCACATAGTTTACAACAGATATCACGTCGTGAAATATCGTTAAGTATTCGTAATCGCGTCTTCATACAACCACTATAAAGTAAAATGGTACTATGCTCCAATGCACTAAAAATACATTGCTAGAGTCTGCACCTGCAATTGGAAATGCAAAGTTTACGTTGATGTAGGAATTCAGAACTAATCCAGATTGTAGCACTGTGTAGAGAAACTACAATTGCGATAGGGCTACAGGTTTTCTGCAAAAGTACAATCAAGTTACGTATAAGAAAAACACTCGCACAACACGGAGAAATTATTTTCTAAAACGGTATCGAGATTTTTAAAAATAGGCCTTCAAGTCGTGTGGACTGAAATATTTTCTTAATAGCCTGCATAAAACAAAACAAACTCCATGACCTGTAGTCCGCAAACGAACTGTACCGACTGAGTGACAGTCGCTTGTCGTCGAAGTTAGTGCCAACTTTTGCGGATAGGTCCTCAGTAATCCTCACGAGGCTGAGTGGACCCCGTTCCAGACCCACTACTTCTCAGAAAATATGATAGCACCGGGAATCGAATCCGGAACCTCTGAAGCTGTAGCCAAGAACTCTGGCCACTAGACCTCTGAGGCGGTCTAAGAGCCTGCATACACATCTGCAAATAAGCTTGGAACAGAGCGGCATGCACTGGCGACTCTGATTTTCGATCACTATTTTTGTTGCCTACTTAATATTAAGTCGAAGCACCATATTACACAACTTCCTTATTTCTGCCTTCCTTCCTTTCATTCATGTTTCCTTCTCATTTCTTATTTATACATATGTATTTCTTTTCCTCTCTGTTCACATTTCTTTGCTGTTTTTTTTTCTCCTTTCATGCTTTACAGTTCTTCGATTATTCTTTCCTTTTATTCTTCGTTCCTTTCTTTATACACTGATTTTGTCTCCTGTTTTAATCTTGCTCCACTTATTTCTTCGTATGCAGAAGATTGTTTCTCCAATGTAGTTCCTCCACCCCAAAACTGGTCTGGCTTTTGCTACACTCTTGCTGCGGACGACGCAGGAGAAACGTTCTTTTTTCTTATTTAGTCGATTTGAACAGACCGTGTACACATCGTGAACGATATTATTTCTCCACATTCGTGCTAAACGCCCAGCCCATCTCATCCTTTTTGACTTGATCATTTTAATTATAACTTGGTGAAGAATACAATTTTTGAAGCTCCTCATTACGCATTTTTCTCCAACCTCCTATCACTTCATCTCTCTTCGGTCCAAATATTTTCCTCAATACACTCTTCTCAAACACACTCAGTCTTTGTTCCACCCTTAATGTCGGATATCAAGTTTCACACCCGTACAAAATCTCATCCGAAGAGACATATACTAAATGAGATTCTCTCACAAGACGAAAATATGGACATGGTTTCAGGGCCTTTAAAATATGATCCTGTCTAAATCTTTCGTTAGGGCAGCTGGGTGACTGCGCGTTGACAGCCACAAGGATAATGGAATTTCAAGCGTTTGGAGAAAACTGCATAATGAGGAGCTTCATAACTTGTACTCTTCTTAAACTATATAATTAGAATGATCAAGTCAACGAGGATGAGGTGGGCATGGCATGTAGCATGATTGGGGTAGAAGAGGAATGCATATAGGATATTGGTGGCAAAGCCAGAAGGAAAGAGACCACTGGGAAGACCAAGGCGTAGGTAGGTGGACAATATTAAAATGGATTTTAGAGAGATAGGATCGGGTGGTATGGGTTGGATTGATCTGGCTCAGGATAGGAACGAGTGGAGGGTTCTTGTGAACACGGCAATGAACCTTCGGGTTCCATAAAATGCTGGGAAATTCTTGAGTAGCTGCAGAATTGGCAGCTCCTCAAGAAGTGATCAGCTCCATAAGTAAGTAATGTTTTTACGAACGGTAAAGATGAAGTTGTCTGTGTTTTAATGAATTAAGCAATATACACATGAAGGCATATGGGGAAAGTGGAGCTATAACTCCATAATTCTTTATCTCGGCGTTAAATGGAGCTGAGTGGTCGGCTCAACGCTCCTGCCGCTTCACTCCCGGTATCCGGCCCAAGAGCCCGTCTGGACGTTGTGTATTAGAGAAAAAAAAAATTTCTGCCAGGAATCGAATCCCGCCCCTCCAGTCCGTTGCTATCTCGACTCCTTTTACGAATGGAGTGGAATAATTATTTTTACATATATACACTCACCAAATAGTCGGCAGAGTCCACTCCCGCCCCTCCTCCTCCCAGTGGCTAATTCTTGTAAGCTGAAGACACAAATAACGGTACGCAGTACAATAACGGCATATAACCTATACAAGCACTGTAGTTATAGCGCAGCTGGACTCTCTGAATTATTTCATGGAATTCGTCATAAAATTCCATGTTTTAAATTTACGCTGACCATAAGGCTGGCCACTGTCACCTTAACTTCCTTTCCCGAAGAGTCAGAACGCACACTCTCTTCTGCCCTAAAAACAGGAAAATAACTAAGACCTGAAGAATGCCGTCTTCTGGGATGTGGAGCCGTGTAGATATTGTGTTAGCCAACGTATCGCCTCCATCTTCAGTTCATAAGAGATCCGCGAGCGATGAACCAGCGTGAGTAGGTGGCTGCAGACCTTCATACCAAGCCTATCTTTTGGTAAATGCCTATGATTGTTCAGTCGGTATAGAGACAGGCTGAACGACAGAAGTTTGATTCTCAGCAAGGGCAAGGGATTTTTCTTTGCTCCACAGCGTCCAGACCGGCTCTGGGGACCACCCAGCCTCATATTTGATGGGTGTCGAGGGCTCTTTTCCCAGGGGTAAAAGGGCTGAGGCACTCACTTGCTAGTACGAAAGTCAAGAATGGTGGAGTTATACCTCCACTCTCTCATACGTCTGAAAAGCGTCATCATCTTCATGATTAAGCCGTGCTTGGTTTGTTCCGACCTCTGCAGGAGTCTCAATGGCATGGTGGTTAATTGCCTGAGCACAGGGAAAGCTTTACCTTTTCGCAATGACGCTAAAAATGCTTGTCATATTGTCATTTGATATTTTCAATTAATCTTCTAGAGGGCTTCGGAGGTGTTTGATGGGCTGACCTTGTCCGGACATGATCCATTACAGTCATCTAATCCTTGGGGAACGAAAGGGCGATTCTCTTGTATTGTAGGATTTGTTTTATCCTTGTATTATTTGTGTTCCTGGAGGTTACTAGATGGCCTTGCATGCTGAGGCTACTCCTTCCAGTTGCCCTTTTGAAGCTCCTACTCCCCCTCTGCTTACTCCCCCCCCTCACTCAGTGGAACCGCTACATCATACTGTTGCCTAGCTGGCGAGAACCGATATGTAAGCTTGTCTGACATCGGGCAGGCTTAGTGGGTTTCGGAAGTTGGAGTGGTAAGACTGAACGCAGTCGGGGCAGTGAGCGTGGAGTGATTCTTATAATGTGGAAACTCATTTTTGTGAAAGCAAGCGCGTGACACTGCCTGAACGCAAGGTAGCTGGAGGAAGGATGAGTTCAGGGAAGGTCAGGCTATCAGCATGCACGAAGATAAGTTCAGAGTGTGCAGGATAACCGAACTGTCAACGTAAGTACAACCAAGAGCATCGCAACACAACACCTGCACTTCTCTTAATTGATTCTCTGCTGTTTCTCAGCACTACATTTACCAGAAATAACTAACAGTTAAGAGGAGACGGAAATTATGGAGACAGTGTGAGAACAAAGTGATATAATACGTGTCCCACTGTTTGGTATCGAATCCAGTACTCAGAGGCCTGGAGCAATAGCTGTTGCGCTAAGCTGTAGTTGATTCTGCATGCATATGTTAACGATATAATTGCGCGGTTACAGAGGTTAATTGCTCCATTTAAAATGGAATATTAGTCGATTTGAAAACCCTTGAAATGATCAAGTAAATATGTGACTTTAACATTTAATTAGCTGGAAGCAGAGAAAGGCACATCGGTTCGACGGTCTGGAAGCGGGAAACCGGTTTGAGACATTGTGCTATTTCGAGAAGTTGGCTGTAGCGCCAAATTCAAGCATATTTTTTCAGTATATCCCGAAAATAAAAAGTATTATCAATATATTGTAGGATAATATATAATATATTAAATATAATAATGTAAAACGGCTCTTTCGGTTAATTTGTTCAACCTATCCCATCATGTAGGATTAGAAGTTCGTACATCGGTGGTTATGAATATTCTTATCTCCTGGGATATAACGCCGTATAGTCCGATGAAAGACAACCACCATCTTCAGGATTAAAGAGTAAGCCAAGCAAAGAACCATCTTGAAGTAGGCAGCTAGCGCTGCGGCGTTGGACTACATGACATTATATCCAGATGATAGAAATCTTCCTTTCTGTCTTGATTTTTATTTAAAGAAACTTTCGATTAGTGTATTTCTATAACATCTGATCCTGACGCTGAAAATCCAAGAAAATTTGAACCTGTTACAAGATGGCATGCCGGTCACTGTAGCCGAGCGGTCTAAGGCATGTACTGCCTTCGCTCGCTTGGAAACCGGGATCGTGGGTTCGAATCCAACTCAGGGCATGGATGTTTAGTTTGTGTGTGTGTACAGGTAGACGCCATGCGACGAGCTGATCACCCGCCCAAGGAGTCCTACCGAATGTGTAAGATCTAGAAAAACCGAAGTGAACGGAGAAGTTCATGGAGGTAGGCCTAGGCCCACTGGGGCTGTAGTGCCAAGGGGGAAAAAAAGATTGCATGATATATTTATTCTACAGCACGTCTTATCAACAAAAAGTAAAGATAAGAAGAGCTATGTCTTCTGGGATGTAATACCATGTAGTCCGCTGAAAGTAACCAACGTTTCGGAGGAACATGTCGCCTCCATCTTCGGGGTCGAGGAATAGGCCAAGGCAGAAAACAGCGTGAAGCAAATAGCAAGCAGAGCTTGTTTAGCCCATAGTACCATCCTGAAGATGAAAGTGACCTGTTCCTCTGAAGCTTCGGTAGGTTTTCTTCCGGTTTACGTGGAGCTATATCCAGAAGATAGAACTCTTAGATACCACCGCTGTGAGAACTTTGAATCTTGCAAGTAATGAGCAGAGGGACTGCTACTTCCATTCGAGATATCGAGGGATCTCGTGCATAGGATGAAAAGTATTTATTATATGTTATTCAACATTTTTACGCGACCCGGGATCGCGCAGACTGTATAGCGACTGGCTCCTGGCTGGACGGCCGAGGGGTCGGTGTTGAAGTCGCCGTAGCGTCAAGAATTTTCACTTCTCCATGTCGTTTAGACCAGCTCTGGGGTCCACCTAACCTCCTATACAATGGGTACCGAGGGGCGACCGAGGCGTGAAGCTGACTACTCACCTCCAAATAGTGCCGAGGTCAAGAAAATGTGGATCTATACAGCCACTACCCCACCCATACTTCTTCATGGCGTAGTGCTTAATTAGTTAAGCACAGGGACAACTTTACCTTACATTCTTACACGCTCACTATGATAAATTCTTTGTTTATATACACGTATTCCACCGTTTACTCTCGGTACTTTGTCAACTTCAGAGATAACAGAATCCTCTACAAGTTAAGGATCTTTATTATTTACAAATAAGGTAATACAAAGCATGAGGATTTCGGGGTCTATTTATAAAGTATATCTCTGTCGGTATAGCGATGGGCTATGGGCTGGACGGCCGAGGTTCAATTCCCTGCAGGGGAGAGAGGCTTTTCTCTTCCCGGCATCCGGATAGGCTCTGGGTGCCATTCAACATCCTACGCAGTGGGTACCGGGGGTATAGCGGGCGGGGCGTGAAGCTGACTACGCATCAACATCTAGTACGTTAGTCAAGAATGGTGGAGCTATAATTCCACTCCCCCATACATCTTCATGGAGTAGTGCTTAAGTAGTTGAGCACAGGAACTTTACCGTTTTTTTTTTAATTGTAACATTCGCCTGGAATCATGTTTTTTTTAAAAAGTTTTTCTTGAACACCCTATGGTTACTCTACCGGTCAAGATAATCCGTTGGTAATAACGCCGGTCGCTGGAATCTGTGCTGAGCCGGTTCGAACCATTCCCACTTTCACACCATGAACGTCGAAGATACCTTTAATATTATGCCCTAAACTAAGCTCAGTCCTCTTGGTTTATTCCGTTCGCTCTGGCACCACATATTATGATTAATCTAAAATCCATTCATCGAATTGAAATTTTGTAGCCGGTCTGTTTTACGTCTGCCTTCAAGTTTTCTTTCTTTCTGTTCTCATTACCACGATAAGAGTTCTCATATGGACACTAAACCTCGAGAGTCATTCGAGCGAGAAGGCTTAATTATTACGCCCAGTGTAATACTCACAGGCACCGTGAGCCTTATACTGTCGGCGAAGAAATTTCTTTCAGAAAGATTTAAAACAGAATAAGGTTAAGCTAATAAGCTATCCCTGTAACGGGATATCGTCTAGACCGTCGGCTAACAGATGGCGGTGAGGTTGTCAGTATTACGCGCCGGTCACACTTTACACCCCGGGAAGATTCCCGGTACTCATTCCTGTTAGAGGCTGAGTCGTCCCCAGGGCCATAGTGCTGGTGGAAGGATTAGGTAAATTGAAAAAGATCCATCTCATCGGGAATTGAACCCGCGACCTTCCGGCTTGACTGCCTTAACCAACTACGCTACGGCGTGCCCCTCAAAACAGAATAGGAGAATAAATAATTTATTATTTTATCAATAATTTGTTATTCATCACAATGTCAAAATTAAGTCAAAATACAGATTATGTTTCTTCTACAATCACAGCAGATTTGATATTCGGAGCTTAAGAACTCACAGTGCTCATTCATATCTTAAGTGCAGGATAAAACTCAGATTTTTGATAAGACATTTATAAAGTTGGCTTAGAAAATAGTACACATAACATTCTGTGCACGTAATAGCTATTCCTATCTTTACACCTGAAGAGAGAGAGACAGGCCAATCTACGAAATATCGTAACTTGTGTATTGTTTTTCCATCCAGGCAATGGTCATTGTTCACAGAATATTCTTCCACAGATATAAAAGACACTGTCATTAGAGAAATCCCAGAGACTCCACGTCAACCTTAGTACTAATTATGATAATTAATAATTCGTTTATATGAACTAATGTCACTGTGTCTAAGACACATTTAATTCTAAAGCTCTTCATTTCGTTTCGATAGTAACCCTATAAAAATGATAGTGTTAAGCGAGATTCGAACCTCTATAAACATTTGAGCTACAGTCTGATACATTCTAATGAACAATTCTTCACTCATTCATGTGTTTCCCCTATATGGGATAGGGGATATATTTGTATTCAGTGAACATAAGTATACAAGTAGCTGCACCCATTCACGTGGGTGTTTCTCCCAGAAGCAAGAGTCATGAAGTAATTAGTGAATCATGTAGCTAGATTTTGTAGCTTGTTAAACTGTGTCTGCATTTTGACATTAAAACCAATTTCCTTCTTTCCACATATAATTTGACGTCATGAAGTCTTACTACAACATTAGGCAACTGACAAATATTGCATCAGTTCAGTGGTTGTACTTGAAGAAAGTTGGAATGAGTTACAGGTGATTGTTTTGCCCCGAAGCCTTTCAGCATGACTTCCCTTATCTCCTTCAACTTGCAAAAATCACGTACAGATGCATGGCTGACTGGTTGGTTGGGCTGAATTATCAGACATTGGCATGAAGAGGCGCCAAGCTGGGCAATGGCTTCCAGATAGGGTCAAGGCTACAGCAGGTTAGTGGCTACCTGTGCTGTGAACTGCTTCATCATAAAATCCTAGACAACGTTTTCATACAATGGATAAGAAATAACTTCCGTTGTAAATGGTATACAAGAGCATTTCAACTTCTTCTTGCTCTTAGGGAATTCTTTCTTGTTTGAGACAACTTATAATCGTGTCATATGTCTTTATATATATTTTATTTAGTGGATAATATAAATAAAATTGAACCTGAAATATCAAAGAAAGATTACCTGTTTAAAGTTCCAGAAATTCTAGATAGGAAGTTCGTTTACATTCTGACATAATGTTTTTATATCATACTCCGAGAAATAGTTCCGTTTTACCAATGACTTGGAAGGAATATGTAATTTCAACCGCCTTTTTATATAAATGTGACAATTCTGCTGCAGAATAAAATTCTCTAAGAGTGACGTACGTTTACATTTAAAATGAGATAACATAAAAATTCTCACCGAAATACTGGGTTTTGGGCCTTTTCCCATCGTCCGGTATTCTAGAAAACAGAAAACACGACGTTTCGGAAACTGGATCTGTTTCCGTCCTCAGGCGAGAGATGGAAGACACCTACTCAGTTGGGCCCCTTAGAAAGAGCTGATCTGGATTAGCACTGGGTTCCCTTTTCTTCGCTTCCTACGACTCGCATGGCTACGGTGGAGGTTTTCGACCCCGCCTCCACACGGGATAACTAACTTTTAAACTTGTCTCATTGATAACACCTTGACACCTCGTAGAAAACGCCGTTTATTGTTGTACGCCAATCGTTTCCTTGGGAAAATGTTTGTTTACAAAGGTGTGACTCAGTAACGGCTGCGTATACTTGCTT